GAGGTACTTTATTTTTATTTTTTAAATCATAATTGGATGCCATATCTTGTCAAATGCTTTCTCTGCATCTATTGAGATGATTATGTGATTTTTATTCGTCATTTTGTTAATGCAGTGTATCATGTTGATTGATTTGAGGATGTTGAACCATCCCTGCGTCCCTGCAATAAATCCCACTCTATCATGGTGTATGCTCTTTTTAACGTATTGTTGTATTCGATTTGCTAGTATTTTGTTGAGGATTTTTGCATCAATGTTTATCAGTGATATTGGCCTGTAATGTTATTTTGTTGTTGTTGTCCTTGTCTGGTTTTAGTATCAGGATAATGTTGGCTTCATAGAATGAGTTAGGAAGCTTCCTCTCCTCTTTAATTTTTGGAACAGTTTGAGAATGATAGGTATTAAGACTTCTTTAAATGTTTGGTAGAATTCACCAGGGTAGTCGTCTGGTCTTTGACTTTTATTTTTGTGGGGGTTTTTGATTGCCGCTTCGATCTCCTTACTGGTGATTGGTCTATTCAAATTCTCTACTTCTTCTTGTTCCAGTTTTGGAAGGTTGTATGATTCTAAGAATTTATCCATTTCTCCTAGATTATCCAGTTTGTTGGCACATAGCTTTTTGTAGTATTCTCTTCTAATTTTTTGTATTTCTGAGGTGTCCATTGTAATTTCTCCTCTTTCATTTCTGATTTTATTTATTCGAGCCTTCCCTCTTTTTTTCTTGGTGAGTCTAGCTAAAGGGTTGTCAATTTTTTTTATCTTTTCAAAGAAACAGCTATTCATTTTGTTGATTTTTTCTATTTTTTTTTAGTCTCCATTACATTTATTTGTGTTCTGATTTTTATTATTTCCTTCCTTCTACTGATTCTGGGCTTCATTTGTTCTTCTTTTTCTACTTCCTTTAGGTGCACTGTTAGATTATTTATTTGAGATTTTTCTTGTTTGTTGAGGTAGGCCTGTATTGTTATAAACTTCCCTCTTGGAACCACTTTTGCTGTATCCCATTGATTTTGGCATGTCACATTTTCATTTGTCTCCAGGTATTTTTTTTATTTCTCTTTTGCTTTCTTCATTGACCCAATCATTGTTCAGCAGCATTTTGTTTAATCTGCACATATTTGTGGCTTTTCTGATTTTCCTCCTGTAGTTGATTTCTAGTTTGATACCTTTGTGGTCAGAAAACATGCTTGGAATTATTTCAGTCTTCTTAAATTTATTGAAACCTGTTTTGTGGCCTAATATGTGATCAATCCTGGAAAATGTTCCATGTGCATTTGAAAAGAGTGTGTATTCTGTGGTTTTTGGATGGAATGTTCTTTATATACCTAGTAAGTCCATCTTGTCTATTGTGTCATTTAAGGCCAATGTTTCCTTATTGATCTTCTGTTTGGATGATCTATCCATTGGTGCAAGTCAAGTGTGAAAGTCCCCTACTATTGTTGTGTTACTGTATATTTCTACTTTTATGTCTGTAAATAATTGCTCTACATATTCAGGTGCTCCTATGTCGGGTGCATAGATATTTACAAGTCTTATATCCTCTTGTTGGATTGTTCCCTTTATCGTTATGTAGTGCCTTTCTTTGTTTCTTGTTACAGTTTTTGTTTTAAAGTCTATCTTGTCATATATAAGTATTGCTACCTCAGATTTATTTTCATTTCCATTTGCATGGAGTATCTTTTCCATCCCTTCACTTTCACTTTGTGTCTTTAGGTCTGAATCGTTTCTCCTGTATGCAGCATGTATATGGGCCTTTTTTTTTTTTTTTTATCCAATCAGCCACCCTATGCCTTTTAATTGGAGCATTCAGTCCACTGACATTTAAAGTAGCTATTGATAAGTATGCACTTATTGCCATTTGTTACTTTTTTTCTGGGTGTTTTAGTAGTTCTCCTCTGTTTCTTTCTTCTTCTCTTGCTCTCTTCCTTTGTGGTTTGATGGCTTTCTTTAGTATTATGTTTGAGTTCCTTTCTCTTAATTTTTTGCATATTTATAATAGGTTTCTGGTTTGTGATTATTATGAGGTTCATATATAATAACCTACATATATAGAAATCTATATTAAGTTGATGGTCTCATTAGTTTGACCTCTTTCTAAAAGCTCTACTCTTTTACTCCCCTCCTCCCACATTTTACGTTTTTGATATCATATCTAACCACTTTTTGTGTGTGTATCTGTTACCCTCTTATCATGGAAATAAGCACTTTAAGTTCTTTTGTCTTTTGACCTTCCTAGAATCTTCATGGGTGATTGATCTGCTACCTTTACCATATTTATGCCTCTATCAGTGATTTTATTGCCTGGTGGGTTTTTTTGGATAATTTTCATATTCCTATTCGTGGTCTTCTCTTTCCCACTTAAACAAATCCCTTTAGCATTTCTTGTAGAACTGATTTCTTGGTGATAAATGCCTTTAATTTTTGCTTGTCTGGGAAACTCTTTATCTCTCCTTCCATTCTGAATGACAACCTTGCGAGGTAGAGTATTGTTGGCTGTAGGTTTTTTCCTTTCATCACTTTAAATATACTGTGCCTCTCCCTTCCAGCCTGTAAGGTTCATGCTGAGAAGCCAGCTCATAAACTTATGATGTTTCCTTTGTGTGTAGGGTAACCCTAACCCTAACCTTGTTGCCTTTCTCTTGCATCTTTTAGGATTCTCTCTTTATCTTTTGACATTCAAATTAAAATGTGTTTTGGTGTGGACCTCTTTGGGTTTATCTTGTTTGGTGCTCTCTGCACTTCCTGTACCTGGATGTCTGTTTCCTTCCTTAGGTTAGGAAAGTTTTCCGCTATTATTTCTTCATAAAGATTCTCTGCCCCTTTGTCTCTCTCTTCTCCTTCTGGAACACCTATAATATGAATGTTAGTGTGCTTGATGTTGTCCCAGAGGTCCCTCAGACTGTTCTCATTCTTTTTAATTCTTTTTTCTTTTATCTATTCAGATTAGGTGATTTCCTCTAATCTTTTGTCCAGCTTGCTGATCTGTTCTTCTGTATCATCTACTCTGCTATTGAGTCCCTCTAATGAATTTTTCATTTCCAGTATTGTATTCTTCATTTCTGATTGGTTCTTTTTTATATTTTCCAATTCTTCACTGAAGTTCTGAGTTCATCCATTCTTCTCCCAAGATCAGAGCATCCTTATGACTGTTTGCTTGAACTGTTTGTCAGGTAGATTATTTATTTCTGTTTCATTTAGTTCTTTTTTCTGGGGTTTTGTCCTATTCCCTTACTTGGAACGTATTCCTTTGCCTCCTCATTTTGCATCTTTCTCTGTGCTTATTTCTATGTATTAGGTAGGTCAGCTATGTCTACTAATCTTGGAGAGGTGGCCTTATGTAAGAGATACCCTATGAGGCCCAGCAGTGTGCTTCCCTCTCATCACCAGTTCCAAATGTTCCAGGAGTGTCCCCTCTGTGGGCTACATGTGTCCTGTTGTGGCAGGGTTGCTCTTGCTGCAGGTGCCCAGGGAGGCTAGGCTGTCCCCTTGGCCATCTGATTGTGATGCATGTAGGTGCTATGGACTCTTCAGTCACTTTATCAGGTGTGGGGAGCCCCAGAACAGTTGGCTGCAAGGTCTAATAGCACATTCCTGTTGCAGTTTTTCTGTTAAGTGAGTAGGCCCCCAGCATGGCTGGTTCCTAGGCTCAGGGACTTACAATTACTGTAGATCTCTGGCCTGCAAGGCTCTTGTCAGCTCTCTCAGGATTGAAGCTGAGTGGGGCTGGCCCCAGGCACAGAAGCACCCAATTATTTCAGAGGTTTGGGAGGTGGGGCCGATCTCCTACATGGCTGTTTGAGAAGCACAAATCTTCAGCAGCTGACAAGTCCCATTGCCCATGGGGCCACAGACACCTCAACACGGTCATGCCCCATGCGCATGCCCTAACCCCATAAAGTGGACCTAGTCATTCCACTGCAGAGGCCTCACACACTCTACCAATGCCCCACGCACTCCACTTGCTCCTTGTGCACACCTTGCCCCTCAGAGGTGGACTCACTTACCCAGCTGCAGAGGATTCAGGCACCCAGCCTATGTAGGCCCACAAGTTGCCAAGGGCCAGTCCATAGGGCCGGCTGCCTACCCTGGCTGAGCTGGATTAAATCAGTGCTGCAGTGGGTGTGGCAAACTCTGGGCTAACAGGCCAGGGGAAGAACTCCAATTGTGTCATCCAGTGTCTGTGTCAGCACACCTGTACTAGGTCACAATAATGGCTGCCACCATTGTCTCAGTCCCTGGAGAGGTCTCGCCTCTCATTGAGATGCACCCAGAGCCTATCAGGTGAGTCTCTTTCCACCAAAGGACTGTGTACCTTTATTTCTGGTGATTTAGGTTGCTTTCTGAAACAGGTGAATTTATGTGTGGGCCCTTTATGAACCAGCTTTTGTCCCCTTGTGTCTGATAGCTTTTCTATGGGTATTCCCCATTGTTGTTAGTATCCAGCAAAGACAGATATTATGACAGTTGTCTCAGTTGTGCTGAGTCCAAAGGATGCTTATAGTGGTAATGCTCTCCCACTCAGATTCCGTACTCCTCCAGGGAAGGCTGTATACCTTAGGGTTGCTCCCAGCCAGCCATGAAACACTGCAGCTTGCAAAGGTGGCTTTTTTTTTCTCTTCAGAAAGGAATTTCTGCCTCTTCCACCTCAGTCAGGACTGTCCCTTGTTGTGGGGGTTCTTTTTATCCATTTTTCAGTTCTCTCTCAGGGATAATTGTCCCAAGAGTAGTTGTAAATTTGTTGTGTCCATGGGAGGAGGTGATTTCAAGACTCTGCCTATGTTGCCATCTTGACATCAACCTCTTTGCAGACTTCCGTTAACAATTACCCTTATATATTTAATTCTTTGTTTGTCTCAATAGATTGTGAGCCCCTCAAGGGTCATGATCATCTCTTATTTATGTATCTCCAATATTTAGCATGGAGTCTAGCATAAGAAGGTTACAAGTTTTGTTGAAAGAATAATAAAAATTCCACTTTACTTTTATCTGCTGGCATTTACCTCGAACACTGTCCAATAGAGTTCCTTCAGTAGTATAAATATTTAATCCATGTTGTAAAGTGATCCTTACTAACCATTCTTCTACAGCTGCAACATCTGTTTGAAAACAAAAGGCAAATGATCAATTATTTTTTTGTGTGTCATGTTGGTGAAATGTACGGCTATATGAACATTACCAACAATGATTACCTTTCATTTCCCAATCATTTTCATTGCATTTATATGTTTGTTTTCCCTACAAAAATTTTGATAATAAAGTGAGGAAAAAAGAATTACAAAGTGATCTTACTACCACAGCAGTGAATTCAGATAATAATATTTTAGATCATAATTTTTCTTTGAGAGCTGTTGTGGCTTGGTAAAAAGCAAACCATGGCACTTCATGTAAAGTGGTACAATATTATTTGAAAATAGACCATGATTAATTAAAACATATAGTGTAAACCCTAAGGCCAACTCTTAAAAACATTATAAAGCATAAATAATAAGCCAACAGTGGAGATAGAATGGAATCATAAAAAATAATATGAATGAAGACGTAAAAAGAAGAGAAAAGTAAAACAGAAGAGATGGAACAAATAGAAAACAATCTGATGGTAGATTTCAATACAACCATACCAACAATTACATTAAATGTAAATGGTCTAAAAATTCAATTAAAAGACAGATTACCAGATTAGATGTGAAAATTGAGACTGAGCTGTATGCTAACTCTAAGAAACCCACTTTAAATATAAAAGCATAGATGAGTTAAAAGTAAAAGGATGGGTGGTGAACTTAGCCTGGGACTTGCTGCAGTGGTTGCACTCATGGGCTAAGGATGAGGCTGAGGCTGAAACCAGGGTGCGTTCATGAAGAACATGCCTGATACAAACAGCTCAGTTGCACAAGCCTCTAGGTGGATCTGTGCACCACCCCAAGGAGAATATAGCTCTTCTGGTGGCTGCTGAAGCCACTTGTACCCAAGTAGATCCTAAGAGCTATTTGTGCTTCTTGCTGTCAATGCTCTCTATCAAGTAGTTCCTGGACTTTGGGAAAGATAATGGTGTGAGAAAACATCATATATGTTTCTACAAAAGGAGCTTCCTGCACAACTGGCTAACACAATGACAGAAGTCAATCTTCTGATGGATAACTTCACTGGCCTTCAGTGGGACAGGTTCTAAGTTGGTATATGCATCACTTTCAAAATATGAAAATAAGAACCCTGATGATCCACAGGTCTTGGATAACTTCCTACAAGTCCTGATTAAATTCAGAAATAGAAACAATAATGTGGTTCCTATAATGGTATAAAAGCATAGGAAAATTAAAGGTTTGATCCTTTCATTAACAGTAACATCCAATATTTTCTGAATTGGTTTTATACCAACTGCATCTCTTTCCACATGCTTATTAACTAACACACACTTCTGTTTGGTGTCTATACTAATCCTGCTCATCCTAAACACATAGAAAGTATTAATCCCACCTATAATGTGGCTAATGTAGTGAAAGATGTATATGAAACAGCCAAAAGGCTGTGTGAACAGTGTTAGCTGGTAGATCCAGAGATGGAAGGTGAAGAGCTCGATGCTGAAACTTCAGACAAACCCATTCAGGTAGTTTATGTGCCTTCACATCTGTTTCACATGCTATTCAAGAACTCAGTGAGAACGACAGTAGAACTGCCTGGAGAGTTATAGAAAAGGGGGATATCTGGCCGTTAAAACCCTTGTTACTTTGGGTAAAGAAGACTTATTCATTAGATAAGTGACCACGGGGATGGTATCCCACTCTGAAAAATAGCACCATAGTTATTTCAGCGCTTGAATGTTTATTTTCTCTATACCAGCTGGAGGTACTCCAGCCCTTCCATGAAATTAGTAACTTGAGTAATTTTTCAAAATAACTTGCTGTAGTGTGTCTGGTGCCTGATCTAGAAGAGCACAGAGCCGCCCTACAGCTGTGTCCTCTTACCCTCCACCTCATTATCACAGAGTTGAGTGCCCACATCTCCACGGGATTCTGAACTTCTTCCCCATTCCAGACACAGCAGATACCCACTGTTTCTCTTTGTAACCAAGCACCATGCTTGTCCAAACCACAGATTAGGGCCCCAGGTATCTGGAAGTTAAAGACATCAGCTGAGTCTGTCTTGATAATTCATTCCCAGAGTCCTTCCTGCCTCATATGTGTCCCTCCTCCAGCCTCTGATTGAGATTTCTGCCTTTCTCCACCTGACTATATTCCCATTGTGAGGCACAGGCACTTTTGTGTTAGATCTTACTGATTTTTATTTGAAAATTCATTTATGTACTTCCATTCTGCTGATTAATGTGTTCTAAAAGTTGTCTTAGCGAATAAAACGGTAAAAGGATGAAAAAAGAGAGTTATGCAAACACTAACCAAAAGAAAGCTGTAGTGGCTATATTAATATCTGACAAAGGAGATTTTAGAGCAAGGTAATATCAGGAGTAAAGAGGTGCAATACATATGATAAAGGAATCAATTCAGTAAAAAGACATGGCAATCCTAAAGGTGTACATGCCTAAGAGAAGAGCTTCAAAACATGGATCAAAAGCTGATAAAACTAAAAAGAGAAATAAACCAATCCAAAGTTACAGTTGGATATTTCAACACTCCTCTCTAAATAATTGACAAAATCAGTAAGGATATAGAAAAGCTGAACAATGCTATCAACCAACTGACCTAACCAATATTTACAGAACACTCCAGCTAAGAATAGCAGAATGCATTTTTTTCAAGTGCACATGGAAGATTCACCAAATAAACCATAAAAAAATCTTAAGAAATTATCATATGAAATATATTCTCAGAAAATAATATAATTAATCTAGGAAAATCAATAACAGAAAGATATCTGGAAAAACCCAAAATATTTGGACACTTTACAACACACTTCTAAATAACCACAGGTCAAAGAGGAAGTGGCCTGGGGAATTAGAAAATATTTTGAATTGAAAGAAAGTGAAAACACAAGATATCAAAATTTATAAGATGCAGATAAAGCAGTACTAGAGAGAAATATATGGCAGTAAAATATTTATATTAGAATAAAGAAAAGTCTCAAATCAATTATCTGAAGCAGGGGTTGAAAGAGAGTAAAGGCCTTATACAGTGGCAAATAGTAAATATTTTGGGCTTTGTGGGCCATATGGTCTCTGTCACAACACTTCAGCTCTGCCACAGGAGTACAAAAGCAGCAACAGAAAACACATAAATAAGTGAACATGGCTGTGTTCCAATAAAACTTTATTTACAAAAATAGGCAACAGGCCAGATTTGGCCTGCAAACTGTAGTTTGCTCACCCCTGATCTAAAGGTTCTCAACTGAAAAAACTAGAAAAAAAAGAGCAAATTAAACCCAAAGCAGGTTGAAGCATAAGATAAAGAGTGGAAATCAATGAAATGAAGAGCAGGAAAACAATATTCATAATCAACGAAAACAGAAGATGCTTCTTTGAAAGGATTAATAAAATTGATGAACCTCTCCAGATTAATCAGGGAGGAAAAAAAATACAAATAACTCATATTAGAGATGAAACAGGGGACATCACTACAGACTCTATAGCTATTCTAAGGATAATAAGAGAATATCACAACTTGTCATAAATTCAACAATTTAGATGAAATGGACCAGTTCCTTAAAAGATAAAAACTGCCAAAACTCACTTAAGAACTAACAGGAAACTTGAATATTCCCATACCTATTAAGGAATTTGAATTTGTGTTAAAATCCTTGCCACAAAGAAAACTCTAGGCCCAGATATCTTCACTGTGAATCCCACCAAACATTTAATGAAAAGATACTGAATCTACAAAAACTCTTCCATAATATAGGAGGAGACTCTTCCCAACTCATTTTATTTGTTTACTTCCCTTTTTTAGAAATGAGCTTTATTTTCAATGATATTTAGTTCTAAAAGCCTGTATACTTACTTTTTCCTCTCATCAGGTTTACCTACAAATCAGGATTTCAAAAACCACAATAAACAAATAAAACACCTGTGGGATTCTGGGCAGTGGCCACCTGCATTTCATTTTGGCAATTAAACCAGGACACCCTTTCAAAGAAGCTTATGTGCAAAATGCCGTACTTCCTAGAATGAGGCTCATTGTTTTTCAACCTTGAAATCACCCACTTGAAAAGCAGACCTAGAGACCCGAGCTTTCAGAACTCAGTCACAATATCGCCACCATTCTGACAACTGTACAATTAACACAGCCCCAAATTTACTGTATCTAACAGAGGGCTTCAAGACAAGGCAAAATTTTTCGTACCACTCCCCTCTGCCCCTGCCAAACGTTCTGCACTTCTCTTCGCTTGGAATCAGTAATACTTCACGCATAAAGTCCTGAGGATGACCTCAGCTGACTGAGTTGCTCAACAGGGCCCATCCGGATGGAGGAAACTTTGGACACAGGTCCCCTTGTTGGTCCCAGCACTGCTGTTGAACCCAGCAACAATGAACTTGTTCATTATTCATAAACACTGTCCAAAAAAGAGGCTGCTTCTAACTCAGAAGCTCAGATCCCCGGATAAAAATCATTTTTGATAATCTGTATAATTCAAATCAAATGAATGGTTGTTAAAAATAAACCAAGAAATATCCAGAAACAGATTTCCAGTGAAAACTTGGTAGAAGAGGGATTCCAATACGAAAAAACAATCTAGACACGTTCTTTTGTCTATGGGGGATGCAAAGTAATCACAACCCCCTGAAACTCCTTAAGTAGACAGTATTTCAATTCAGAGACCAAAGAGAAAATACCTTTGGAAAGAAAACCGTGACTTGGCTGGGAAGAAACCCTGTGCATCTTAGTGAACATTTTTCCACCCACCACAAGCTCAGGCTTTCTGGGGTCACTTGTTTCCCAGTCAAAAACGTTTTTGAAGTCATCAGGAATGGAGGAAAAGAGACTCGTCATCTGGCAAGTATGTTCCTGGTTCCATATCTGTGGCTCAAAAGCCAAAGAGCACAATCCTGCAGGACTCATGAAGACAGTCCCCAGGGCGATGAAGATTCTGAAGTATCTGGGGCTCAATAAGAACTCTTGCATGTTACCACCTTTGCTGGGCTCCCTCGATTCCTCCCCAAATCACTGCCTGTCCTTTTTCAGCTTAAAGTTGAGCACTGACCCTGCGTTCGTCAGCAGCATCTGGAAGAGCTGAGCAACTCAGTTAATAATGACAGCATCACCAGATACCAAAACGAGGTAAAGACATTCATTACAAGAAAATAAAACTCCAGACTGACAACCTCAAGAACCTACCAGCTAAATGAGTCCAGCAATATATAAAAAGGATAATACATCATATCCAAAAGTTGTTTATTCTGGGATTGCAAGGCTGATTCAAATTTCAAAAATGAATCAATGAAATCCACTCTATCAACTGACTAAAGAAAATCCTTATAATCATCTCAATAGATGCAGAAAGAGCACTTAACAGAATCCAACAGCAATTCATGATAAAAACTCCACAAACTAGGAATAGAAGGGAACCTCCTTAACACGATAAAGGGCATCTACAAAATACCTACAGACAACATCATACCTAATGATGAAAGATTGAATGTTTCCCCCGGAAACTGGAAACAAGGCCGAGATGTCCTCTCTTACCATTCCTATTCAACATTGTACTGGAGATCCTACCAGTACAATAAGGGAAGAAAAAGAAATCAAATGAATACATATTGGGAAGGAAGAAATAAAAGTATCTCTATTTCTAGATGGATGATTTATCGCTGTAGAAAATCTCAAAGAATGCACAAAATGCCACTAGAACCAATAAGTTCTACTGAGTTTAACAAACTTGCAAGATACAAGGTCAATCTTCAAAAATCCATCGTATTTTTACATACTAGCAATGAATAATTGCAAATTAAGACATTAAAAATAACCATATACAATAACACCAAAAACGGGAAATTCTTAGGTATAAGGTTTTTAAAATATGTGCAAGATCTCAATGCTGAAAACCACAAAACCCTTGGATGAAATAAATCAATGAAGATGTAAATAAATGGAGGGATGTACTGTGTCTGTGGATTGAAAGACTCAGTGTTAAGATGTCAATTTCTTCTAAACTATAGATTTAATGCAATCCAAATAAATCACAGGAGGATCTTTTGCAGAACTACAGTTCTTTCTAAAATTTACATGGAAAGGCATAAGAACTATACTAACCAAAGCAATTTTGAAAAAGAACATCAAAGTTGAAGGATTAACGTTACTTACTACAAGATTATTTATAAAGCTAAAGTAATCAAGACAGGGTGGTATGGGTGAAAAGACAGAGAGCCCAGAAATAGCTATTCAATGGAGAAAAAATGGTTTTTACAACAATGGTGCTGGAATAACTGGATATCCATATTCCCAAAACGTTAACTTCAGTTCATATAACATTGAGTATAGACCTAAATACAAAACCTAGAACCATAAACTTCTAGAAGCAAGAATAGGAGAACAACTTTGTGAACTTGGGTTAGGCAAAGATTTCTTGGTTACGATGCCAAAAGTGTAATCCATAACATAAAAAACTCTTAAATTAGACCTCATCAAAATTAAAAACCGTCATCTTCAAGAGTTTATAGATGAAAAATACAAGGCATAGCTTGGGAAAAACTATCTGCAAATCATATATATATATGATAAGGGACTTGTATCCAGAATATATAACAAACTTACAAAAGATTTGAATAGGTAATTCACCAAATGGCAAATAAGCACAAAAAAGATGCTCAGTGTCATTAGTTATTACAGAAAGGCAAATTAAAACCATAGTTAAATGCTATTATGCACCCATTAGAATGGCTGAAATTATATATACATACATGCATATATACAAACATACATATGCACTCGTATATACTACGTGCTGGCGTGGATCCAGGTAAACTGGCGGTGAGAATGCAAAATGATTCAGCTGCTTTGGAAAATAGTTTGACAACTTCTTGTAGAGTTAGATGTCACGCTTACCATAGAACACGGTAATTCTACTGCTCCGTATTAGCCACATGCAACAAAAATTTCTGTTCACGCGAAAACCTGTATGAGAATGCTTGTAGCAGCTTCATTCATAATTGCCCAAACTGGAAAAATCCAAATGTGCTTCAACAAAATTAACTATGGTTCATCCAAACAATGGGATAGTACCCAGTAAGGAAATGGAAGGAACTACAACTTAGATGAATCTCAAATGAATTATGCTAAGTGAAAGAAGCCCCATTCGAAAGGCTACATATCCCATTCATATGGCTCTGAAATAAGCAAAACAATAGGAATAGAAAACAGATCCATGGTTGCTGGGGCCCGGGAGATGGAGAGAGCGTGACTACCGGTGGGATGATTGAGTGATGGAGCTGTTCTATGTCTTGACTGTAGTGAATACACAACTGTATACTTTTGTGGAAACTAATAGAACTGGACACTAAAAAGGGTATATTTTGCTAAATGTAAGTCATATCTTTTTTTATTTTAAAATAAGAACAAATTACGAAGTGTGAATCAAAGAGGGACTCTTTACTTTCAACAGTTTTATGCAGTTCAAACTCCCAACTGCCTTCACCACTTTCTTGTTGTTGTCAGTGCCCTCAAGTCTCCTAGCCCCCCTGTGGACAGCAGAGCAGAGCCCTGCCCAATCTTTTGCACCATTCTCTCACCTTCCAGCGCTACATCAGACACTGCTCTGCTGCTATTCACAGGGTTTTCACATTTTCGGAAGCTGGTGGCCAGGTCCCTCTTCCTCGTCTGTCTTAGTCTGGAAGCTCAGCTGAAACCTGTCCAACACGGGTGATCCTGTTGGTATCTGAAGGACTGGTGGCAGAGCTTTCAGCATCGCAGCAACACGCAGCTGCCATAGCATGACAGTCGACAGATGGGGAGTGTGGTCCCCTGACCAGAACCGAACCCAGGCCGTGGCAGTGAGAGCATCGAATCTTAACCACTAGACTGCCAGGGCCGGCTTCACCGCTTTCCCGCTATTGCTAAATCTGCATTTGGCTTCATGGGCCTCAGTTAAATCATTTGAAAATGAAGATAGTAACAGTGTCCAGCAGATGGTGAGGGACAGGTAAGTTAATATAGGTAAAGTGTTTAGAGTAGTGCTAAAATATAGTAAGAATTCCATTAATGCTCCCTGCTAGTTCTACCACCTCTGTGATGACTATTTGCTACCTTTGTTGTCGTTGTTACCTAAACGACCCTCCCCAAGAGTTCACATATACGTAATACTCAAACTCACGGCATGGCGGTAAATAAGACATGATTAAGGAGGAAAAAGTGAATGAGCAAGTATGGTGCCTTTGCCCTTGAGTACATTTTTCCTGATTTCTAGCATATTGGTAATGTTAGATCATCTTCTCCTACTACATTGCAGGCTCAAATAGATTTCTTTTTATATAGTGACGTACGCCTGAAATTTACCCAGTGTTGTAAGCCAATATGGCCCCAATAAAATAACTTTTTTTAAAAAGAAAAAAATATGTCTTTCTTTTTACTCAGTCCAGGGAGTTGTTCCAGGATAGGCAGAGCTCATTTGGTCTCTTTCCATAAAATACTTAAGTTCTCGGATCACATTTGTTCCTGTCTGGGTGACCTTAGAATCATTGCATTTCTGAAATTAAAGTTTGCAACTAGAAGTACAAATAACATGTTATCTTCACTTCTTCAGTTGTCAAACTAATGTCAATATTACGCCAGGCAACCAGAGCAATCCATCATTATACTGAGGACAGTTCATTTAGATTTTTTTAAAAAGGAGTACATTTTCAGGACGAATTTCTTGAAAAAAAAATCACAAAAAGTTCCAATAGATTAACCTGAAAAAATTGAAATGAATAAAGGACAAAAATGGTGTATAATCCACATCAAATGTTACAGCACTGGGGCTTCGTTTGCAGACTTTTATCTTTGACTCTTCCTTATAGAGTCTTTTCTATCATTTCGGCCTCGCTCTCACCTTCCTCCTGCTTTCACTCTGTAGGACACACAATTCGGGATGTCCTTTAACTACTTCCAGTCCCTCATCACTTGCTACATTTGACTGACACACAAGTTGATACTGGATCAACACTTGGCCAATTTAAGATACTTTCCTGGGAATTTGGAATTGGGCTGGCCCCTAGGAAATATATATATAAATTTTACGGCAGTGAGGGAGCTTTAGGAAGCTAGCTTGAAAGAAGGAAAAATAAATGTAGATTCACAGAAAATAGAGATAAGAGAGGCAGTGTGAAAGTATTCCCTCGGTTACTGATTGTTTTCCATTTGTTAATTCTAACTCCTTCCTATAATCTGGCTGCATTTTTGTCTTTGAGTTCCATGACAAAAACAAATTTCTTCTTTTTCCTTAAGTGAAGTCAAGTTGGTTCCATTTCTTGCATCTACCATATTAAAATGGTATACCCTCCATCATTTTAAACTATAGGAATGTATTGCATGCCTGAAGATCCACTGGCTGAGTGCACTAGTACAATACTCACAACTCCTGGAGTTTGACTTTTCTCCTCCTTCATCGGGGAGTTTACAGTGGCACATAAGGCTAGGCTGCCACATGACGCTCAACAGTAGCTTCCACAGTAAAATAATACATCACACATTTTAGTCTATAACACTTCCAGATTAATGGTTCAATTTCAGTATAATTAATTGGTACATGAATTTCTCAATACTATAACTTTTGAGTTTTAGAAAATGAATTTAAATACTAGAGAATAATATAAGTGTTTTGTATGTCAGAACAATCTATCTATAATAGCATTGCCAGATAAAATAAAGGAAGCCTAGTTAAATTTAAATTTCAGATTAACCACAAGGCATTTTTAGCAAGTATGTTCCAAATACTACACGAGACTTCTTACGCGGGATAGCAAATAATTTTTAATGTGTGTTTTTTATTTGCTAAATTTGGCAATCCAGACCCATGAATTAAAGAATTAATTCAGATGACTCTTACCTGTATTTTTTGTAATGTGTTCTCTCGGAATATTAATCAACCAGTAAACCCGATCACTAAACTTGAATAAAGAGACATCAGAGAACAGTGTTTTACAATGTTAATAGCAACATTATTTTGGCATATTCTACCCTAACTTTTAAAAATGCAAATTAAACAAGAACATCCAATGCATATACCCTTTACCTAGCAATTTCATTCTTAGGAATTTATGCTACATTATACTCATATGTGTGAAATAAAATTTTCATCATTATTTGTAATAGTAGAAGATTGAAAATAACTAAAATGTTCATCAGTTATGTGTAATAATATAGCCACAAAGTGGAATACCATACAGCTAAGCTTAGGTGCCATAAAGCTGAAGAATTACTGGCTTGATGTGTCATAGGACAGAGCTTGGTGTTGACGGTGAATTGGAAATTTAAGAGGAAAATCCCAAGCGCAAAGGAACTGCAAGAATGATGATCTAAGAGTTAAATATAAACTCTTCTCCAAATCCTTGGGGAATACAAGTGCAGAGGAGACTCCTAGAAATCCACATTTAAAAAATCGACAGTGGGGAGCTGGCCCAGTGGCACAGTGGTTAAGTTTGAATGTTCCACTTTGGCTGCCTGGGGTTTGCCGGCTCAGATCCCAGGTGTGGACCTACACACCACTTGTCAAATGGATCAAAGACCTAAACGTAAAAGATAAAACTATGAACTTCCTAGAAGAAAACATAGGGGTAAATCTCTGTGACCTTGGATTACGTAATGGTTTGGCTTGACAAGCGTAATGGTTTCCTACATGACATCAAAAGAACATGCAACAAAAGAAAAAATAGATTCATCCGGCTTCATCAAAAAATATTTTGCACACCAAAGGACACTATCGAGAAAGTGAAAAGACAACACACAGAATGGGAGAAAATATTTGCAAATCATGTCTGATAATGCACTTGTATGAGAATATATAAAGACCTTTGACAACTGAATAATAAAAAGACAAGTTAATTAAAAACGGGCAAAGAGTCTAAATAGATATCTCCACAAGGAAGATACTGAAATAGCCAATAAACACACAAAAGGATGCTCAACATCCTTATCCATCAGGAAAATGCAAATTAAAACCATAATGAGATAGCAGTTCACACCCATAGGATGTCTATAACAGAAAAGACAGGTAATAACAAGTGTTGGTGAGGATGTGGAGAAATTTGAACCCTACTACACTGCCAGTGGGAACTAAGAGAGTACAACCGCTTCAGAAAACAGTCTGGCAGTTCCTCAAAAAGTTAAACAAAGAGTTACCATACGACCTAGCAATTCCATCTCCTAGGCTTTACACGCAAGAGAAAGAAAAAACATATTTTCACACAAAAACTTGTACACAACTATTCATAGCAGCAGTATTCACAGTAGTCAAAAAGTGGGAACAACGCAAATGTTCATCCACTGATGAATGGATAAATAAACTGTGGTATCGAGACAATGAAATATGATCTGGTAATAAAAAGAAATGAAAGTCTGATACATGCCACCACACGGATGAAGTCTGAAAACATCGCGCCAACCGAAAGAAGCCAGGCGCAGAAGATTACATATTACATGACTTTATTTACATGAAATGTTCGGAATAAGCATCTCTACAGAGACAGACGGTAGATTAGTGGTTGCTTAGGGCTGGGGAGAAGAGAGTGGAATGAGTGACTATTAATGGGTATGAGCAGTCTTTTTGGGGTGATGAAAATGTTCTAAAATTAGATAATATAATGGTTGCACACTCTATGAATGCACTAAAACCCATTTAATTATACACTTTAAATTGGTGAATTGCATGGTATGTAAATTATATCTTAATAAAGTTGTTACCAAAAACATGAAGGTAAAATAAAGATATTTTTAAGGAGAAAAAACTCCCAGAGAATTCATTGCCAGCAGACCCGCACTGTAAGAAATGCAAAAAGAAGTTCTTCAGGCTGAAGATGTGACCCCCAGATGGCAACTTACATGTACAGAAAAGAGTGAAGAGTAGTAGAAATAGTAAATATTTAGGTAAACAGTAAAAAAATTCATGTATTTTTTCTTTTCTTATCTTCTTTAAAAAATATATTATTGTTAAAGCAAAAAGTATAACATTGCATTGCTGGGTTTAAAATATATATAGATAGAATATTACTGGACCAGCTAATTTTAAAAAACACATCCTATAAGGAAGAGCATCCTTCTTGTTAATAACATACTACAGAATAAAAGAAAATGTAATTACCAAAGTTAAATTAAAGTGGAAGATGCCAGAATATGTGCTATTTATGATTCCCAAGCTGGGAGCGAGTCCTCCTGACGTGAAGATGCTTAGAAATTCCTTTGCAGTAAAAACACTTTCAGATTGGAAAAAACACTGGATTTTCTTTAGGAAAAGAGAAAAAACACAAGTAATGACAAGCTGATGGAGAGAAGCATATTACATTAATTTACAAGTGAGAAGAAATCTATGAAATGTAGATGCTTGCTAAAGACTGCTGTCTTTAGTAATTCCAGTCTCAAACTAGAAAAAAATTCTATTTTGAAAAGTACACGTTCAGAATTCAGAAACCTATTATGCTAGTGTCATAACAGGTTTCAAATCATCCTTATAATAATCTTTTCTGTCAGAGAAAGGTCATTATTACATTTAATAAACATATAATCAAAGCCACATGCCATCACATGTAGAAATTCCTAGCTTATTAAATCATTGTTTTGTGTCTGAATTTAAAAAGAAGCAAATGTATAAAGCAAAACACATTTCCTGCCTTTTTATTGGATATTTCCCAGTCTTGAGAGGGTATATGAAAATGTAGCAATCACAAATTGTGGATTTCACTGAAACTAACTTGAGATGGACACTCAGGCTTTATCTCATTTAGTTCTCCTGCTAGTGAAGATCACTTTGGTCAAGTTACCTGAGTTTCAGTTTCCCTGTCTATAAAATGGGGAAACATATCCATTCCAAAAATATTTACTGAGCTCTTACTATGAATCAAGTCATGTTGTAGATGCTGGGGAAACAGAAGTGAACGAAACAGACGAAAGTCCCTGCTGTCAAAGAACTGCCATTCCAACGGGGATTGGCAGGGAGATAAACACAAACCCCTTTCCTTTGTCTGGTCCTTCCTTCACAATTTACTTCCCTTTGTTAAGATGGTATACGAGCCATATACAAGATGGCATTGAAGATGGTATGCAAATTCCAGCCACCCCTTTGAGTTACTCATCACTGAGTTCTCCCATGGGTATGGCCGTTGCATGTGTAAATAAACTCTGTGTTTTTCTCCTGTTAATCTGTCTTTTGTCAATTTACTTTACAGGCTCCACCCAGTGAATCTGAGAGAGTAGGTTTGGTATTCCCCAAAAGTACTTATCTTACAGAAGGTCAAACGTCATAATGAACGTAAAACAGTTTGAAAAATGCCTTACACACATAAACACTTTGCGAATGTGAGCTATCATTTCTACTAATGATAGAAAATGTTAGCTACTATGTCTACTAACAACTGTTCTAGAATGACTACATCACAACGCTCTAAAAAGTAGGTTCTAATTCCCTTTTTAAGAGGATAAAACTGAGGATCAGAGAGGTTAGGTAACCTACCCCAGGGCACACAGACCATACATGGCAGGACCAATATTTGACCCTGGTTCCATAGGTCTCTCTTCCCCTAAAACGCATTCTTTTTCCATAATATGCAATCACAAATAGGAAAGGCATTTTTGATTCAAAGGGCATGCGCTTCACAACAGTTGTAGATAAAAACCAAAATATATGTTTGGCATATCAAGAAGGAACTGGGAACCAAGTCAAAGCAGACTTCGGGATAAATGTATTTGTTTTCATAGCATGCTTTTCTTTGTTTTTATCATATTTATCATAGATTTTTAGACAATCTGTTCATTTTTTATTAACGTATCTTTTAGTTAGCATTTGCTGCATGGCTATCTTAACAGTCTGTTTTATTTTATTTTGTTGCATGTTTTTAAAAAAAATCTGCCATTATTTGATTCAAAGGCATCAAATCATCCTTTACCCAAAATGACTCCAATGTGGTCCTTTTTATAAAAGGGAAAGATTCTTCCTCAAGGTCACACAAGGTAATGCTCTTTCTCTAACAGGCTACATCTGTCAGATTTCAAAAGGACAAATCAGATCCATAAAAAATGAAGATCGTTACAGCTGATCTTTAAACAAGGAAAGGAGGAGGCATCTTTAAAAGAACAAAACAAAACAAAGCAAAACCACCCAGGGTATTCAATGGCTAAGTGGAATATTTTATCTGATCCAAGTGGAATGGAATAGAAAGGATTATTATTTATATAGAACTTCACCTCCCCGAGTCTGAACACAGTAGAAGGTATTTGAACAGAGTACAGTGTTACTGGTTTTGCACACGGATTTGAAGCATGTGAGTAGCTGTAACACACGCTGTGGGTGGACCTTACCAAGTCGTCTGAGGAAAGATACAATTTGATTATTTCATTCTTTTGGGGGAATCCTTGGCTAGCACAAGCAAAGCTTTGTTCCATATCACCTAAATAATACAAAATATACATATATATTTTAGGTCACCGATAGAAGAATTTCCGTTAAAAGAACCATATTTTAAAAACTGACAATATCTCTAAAAAACATAAGAATGATAATTGTGTATTCTACATTCACATGAATCTAGATAAAATTCAAATCTTCCACGTTTTTTCACTCCAAAGATACAATATCAGGACGCTAAAAAGGAAGGTTTGACTGAATACGAAAAGAAAATATTCCACACGCTAGGCCACGATGCGAATTTTTCAGAGGTGGCCAAAACGCGCTTCTTGACTCTTAAACTCCTCAACCTTGGTGAACATATAAAAGAGTCAGGAGTTGGCAGTTGGAAAGAGAATTTACGTTTTGATTGAGAGCTATTGATATGAAGGTGACTCCTCTGCCAAAAAAGGGGAGTTTGGGAGGAAGATCCTTTCTCCTTATGTTGGTCTAAAGGGAGCCTCTTGTACACAGCACAGAGTTGGAGCGTGTGTTTTTATCCATTCTGCCAATCTCTGTCTTGATTGGAGATTTAACCCACTTACACATAAAGTAATTACTGATAAGGAAAGACTTCTGTCATCTTGCTATTTGTTTTCTACATACCTTATAAGTTATTTCTCCCTTATTTCCTGCATCACTATCTTCTTTTGTATTCAGTTGATCTTTTTGTAGTGAAGCACTTAAATTCCTTTCTCCTTTCCTTTTGTGTATATTCTATAGCTATTTTCTTCACGGTTACCGTGGGGATGACATTTAACATCCTAAAGGTATAACACCCTAATTTGAATTTATAGCAGCTTAACTTCAACAACACACAAAAACTCCGCTCCTTTGCAGCTCCACCCCCACCCGTCAGTGGTCGATGTTACAAAATTACATTTTTATACACTATGTGCCCTGAAACAGAAATTAAGAATTCTTTTAAATGCGGTAGTCTCTTAAATTATGTAGAAAACAAGATTTGGAGTTACAAACCAAAGTTACAATAATACCAGCTTTTACGCTACAAAGTTTTCCCACCATAGAAGTCCTATTGACTAATTTAATCTGTGCTTTACTTTCAGGAAATTCTCTTCAATCTCAGCCCGCCAGCCTTATATTTCAGTTTACAATTCCTTCTACATGCAATCATTCATGAAGGAGAAACCAAAGAGATCCATCCGAATAACTCAAGTTTTGCAAGTATAAAATGCTTCTTAAACATTAAACACTCTATGCCTTATAAATGACGAAATACATAACAAAAGAAAAGTCTCCATGTACACAACTGACTAACAATAGAGTCACAATGATATTATTAGAAACTTCTGGACCAGAGTACAACAGATAATACCTGGAAAAAATTGGAAGATAAGGTAAAGAAGAAGTACTATAAAAAATTATTTCAACCATTAGTGAGGAAGGCATACAAAGGAGAACGCCTGAGAAGAAGATAGAAAGAGTCTGACACTTACCTTTGTTATATGTTATTGCTGATGAAAAATCAGACACGTTCAAAAGGAAAATTATAACACATAAAAGCAGCAGTTCCATCTGTTGGAAGAAATAGAATTATTTCCATTTAATTACTCTAACATATCTTTTAGTTCCTTTTGCTATAAACAACTACATCGTAAAGAAATCATCTCTTCCTTAAGTTAAAAACATTTCCCATTGCGTGACAAAAGCAGACAACATAACAGTTGACTAAGCCCTACATTTACTCCCATCTGATGTTAGAGATATTTATACATTTAATTATTGGGAACTAGAGAAAGAGCGGTGGCCCAGTTTCCTTCGATGCAGGTAACTGTTGGAGAGATGAGATCGGTTCCACAGCTGTGCAAAACAGAGCCTGATGACGCAGACCCTGAGGACGCCACAGCTGTACTTTGATCTGAGATGTTGACTGCATTGCTTCCAGGAGAGACGGTCTGCACGGGTCCTGGGCATTCCTGCGCGTCCTTGCTGTGTGCCAGGAGTGCAAGGCCCTGGCTGCCCTTTACCCAAGCCTTTTCTCAGAGCTCTGTTTGCAGCAATCAACCTTGAGGGATGGGGCAATGTCCCCCCTGGACAACAGCAGGCTTGCATCCATGGTGAATCCACCAAGCTCAGGGTTCCTCTCCTGTAATGCACCCCACTATGTGTGTAAGCAAGCATCTGTTACGGGCTGAGTTGTGTTCCCCCTCAAAATTCATATGCTGAAGTCCTAACCCCTGGTATCTCAGAGCGCGGTCGCATTTGGAGATATGATCTTTACAGAGGTGACTAAGTTAAAACAAGATCATTAGGGTGGGCCCTGGTCCAACACGACTGATGTTCTTATAAGAAGAGGAAACTTGGACACACATTCATACAGAGGGAAGAGGATGCTGAAGACACAGGGAAAAGATGGCCAACTACAAGTTAAGGAGGGAGACCTCAAACAGATCCCTCCCTCATGGCCCTCAGAAGGAACCAACCCTGCTAATACTTTGATCCCAGACTTCAAGCCTCCAGAATTGAGACCGTAAATTTGTTGTTTGAGCCACCCAGGCCGTGGTGTTTGTTATAGTGGCCCTACTAAATTAATGCAGCATCCCTGATGGATGTCTCCTGCACGGAACTCCCGGGCATGGAGCACTGGAGGGAGAGTCACGCAGACACTCTGGCTACTGCTTTTGCTGTGGGTGATAAAGTCCTTTGTCTCTGACTTAGGAGTGTTGTGTCCTCTGCCAGCATCCAAGAAACAGTACCAGACTGACTTGCCAGCTGTAGGTAGAGTAAAATCCAGATCCCGCGAAGTTTCTGACACTGCCGAGTAAATTAAATTTAACTGATGTTTTCCTCCCTCAAAATTGATTTGTTTGATTCAATACATCTAACTGACAATAGAAAACTTGAACATTTATTGGATTTTGAATTCATCATTCTTATCACATGATTAGGGGAGAATTTTTTTTGAAGTGCATTCTTTGGTCATCTGAGAAAACAACTTGTTTTCACAAGGTAAGAGGAAACAAATAGTATATCAAAACTATCTCAGTGTGGTATTATGTTCAATTATATTTTTGGTGTAAGAATGAATTCAACATTAAATGGAGAATTTACAACAGTTAAACTTTGAAAATAGTGTCTTTAACAGGAAACTCTTGTATTATTTTGCAAAACATTCAAATTAAATGTCATAAAACCATACTTAGAGCCTGTCAGTTTTTCTCATCCCTGAAAAACTGACTGAAATGTATTATGCTTCAAGGCCCAAGTTTGGATAATCTATTATTGAGTTATCTTCAAAGTTGTTCCAATTCAGTTTTCTCAGATAAATACAAGAGGATCTCTAATTTAATTTGAGTGGATTTGGTTTTATCTATCTTTTTTTAATTTTTTTGGTGAGGAAGATTGGCCCTGAGCTAACATCTGTGCCCATCTTCCTCTATTTTGTATGTGGGATGCCTGCCACAGCATGGCTTGATGAGCCGTGCATAGGTCCACACCCTCGATCCAAACCCACAAACCCCAGGCTGCTGAAGCGGACTTAACCACTATGCCACCAGGCTGGCCCGTGTTGTATCTATCTTTGACCAAAGAACTAAAAACTTACTTTGAAAGCCTTTTAAATGTTTTCATTAAGGAAAAGAAATCTAAGAAAGCATAATTTAAGGGATCTTTCCCTTAAACTAAAGAGCTATCTTTGGGCTTTCTGTGGCTTTGCTACTTACTCTAATTCTAGCAATTCGGCCTATGTTTATTTATTTTTCAATTTAGAGATGGAATGTACTTTAGAGTTGATACATGAGGCATTAAGTAATATAGTCAAAGTCTGTAACTAGCTAGGCACAAAGTCGGGCCTGGCACCAAGGTCTCCTGATTCCACAAATCTAGTCAGCATACAAAGATGCCACAAAAGGAAAACTTAAAAACTGGAAGGCACAAGTCCATGATTAGATTTGACCTCTCACCAAAACTGCTAAATGTGTGCACCCTGATTCTGTTCCATACGCGCATTAGTCTCATTCTCATCATTCTTCAGTGTTACAGTGTTTCTCAGTTTGGTGCACTCATCTCATGGTTGAAGAAAAGGCAGGCTTCAGTCTAAGCTCCGTTCTGCCCACGGAGATGTTTGACGTTTGGAAAGTTACCAAACTTCTCCGAGTTCATTTCCTAGTCAGTAAAATAGAAATAACAGCCACTTCAAAGGGTAGTTGTGAGAATTAAATGAATAATATACTTAAAACATCTCACAGCTACTTTACACAGAAGAAGCATTTGGTGAATACTAAGTCTGAAGTCATAACTTTCTTTATCCCCACCCCACCACCCTACTCACCCTCTTAGCAGTTAAATTACCCCAGTTATCATTCGATTTAATTCTTATATGAGTTTTATATAACTGTCAGAGATAAGTCACATATCTGGCATTTTCTCTTCTCTGGCACCATATAAATTTTGGGAATTGCCTCAAACAAGGAGCCTACCTCCTCCACCGTCTGTTCATGTGAAGTCAGTCCATTAGCACGGAATAGTGACTGCGCTGTCAGTTTGTCCTGTGGTAGGGCCCTTCTTTCTTACTGTAACTCTCTCTTAATGGGATGCCCAACTAGTTGCACTTTTCTTTTTTATATTTTCCCGAGTTTTGTTCCAAATAGGCTGAGAAAGAAAACCCAACATCAGGAGCGGAGTTTTCAGTTTACTGGTTTGAGGGGTCCAGTCCGCTTTGCTAACAGCCAATCAGCTGCCACCAAGCACAGAAGCTCAGACCATTTGAAGGCCAGGCAGTTGGAATTTCCAGTTAACTGCCTCCTTCAGAGCACCAAAGGTCATTTCCTTTAAAATGTTGGCAGATTGCTTTCCAGAAAACGCAGCATTGAGAATTAGACATAGTCTGTAATAATTTGATACGCAAAACAGTAGCTCATTGTTTTACTTTTTTGAATAATGGTGCAGTTGCTCATTTAAAATATGTTTGTTAGCCCTTTTTAGTTCTATAAATTATCTGGATGTCTTCTTGATCATTTTACTGGAATAAGCCTTGCTTGTGAGGTGCAATAATCCCTTGCCATATTTACTATGAATATTAAGCCCAATTTATCATTTAACTTAATTTTACTTAAGATGGATTTTGATGTATAGAAATTAAAATCCGATGCAATCAAATTTATCAGTATTTTCCTTTCTGGTTATTTCCATCACCTTATGGTCTCAGAGTCTACCCCCATGCAGAGACCTACTGTTCTCATTCTTTTTACGTGAGAAAATTTAAAGACTCAAAAAGTTCAAAGAATACAATAATAAGGATATTTTGATCACCCCAGATTAACATTGCTCCAAGTTTTAAAAAATTTTTATTATGGTATATTTCAAACACTGGAAGAAGTAGAAAGAATTGTGCAATTTATCCCTTCCTATCCATCACCCAGCGTCAGTCTTGTTTCATTGATATGCCCACCCATTCATCTTTCTCCTCCAAGATTATTTTGAAGATATCCTAGACATCTATATACATTTCAGTGCATATTTCTAAGAGGAAATGACTTGATTAAAAAAAAGAAAACCATAATACTATTTCACACCTAAAAATAATAATGATTACTCGATATCTATCCAGTGACTGTTTATATTTCCCCAGTTATCTCATTCTTAAAATGTTTTATAGTTTGTTTATACGAATCAGGAACCAATAAGGTTCATACTTTGCAATTGGTTGATATATCTCTGAATTTTGTAATCTACAGGTATCTCCCCCTGTCTCCCCAATCGTTGTCTCTCTCTCTCTCTTTCCTTGCAACTTACCAGTTGAAGATGTAGTTAGCTCTGTGCTTCCTACAGTCTGAATTTTGCTGATTGCATTATCATGGTATCTCTTCACACCATAAGTCTATCTCATCTGTCCTGTAAATTAAGTAGATTTAGAGCCTTGATCAGATTCAGGTTTAATTCTTTTTTTTTGGCAAGAACGCTTCATAGGTAGTGTTGGGTACTTCCAACAGGAGACACATAATGTCTGGCTGTCTCTCTTTGCATGATATAGCAGCCATCATTTATTGCCTAGATCTGTTAAATTCATTAGGGTTTACAAGATGGTGATATTTTATTATTTCTTCTTTATTTATTTGCTGGAATACTTCTATAAAGATAAATTTTCCTTCATCAACTATATGGTTACCCAGAGGTACAATTGCCAAGGAAGGGCAAAATAAATGCTTCCTTCTTTCCCTTCACTCACCAGTTTTGAAAACAATTAATTGATTCCTCAGCATTCTCATAGAAGCAACCAATAGGGTTTGCTTTTTAGTATCATTATCAACTCATAGGTTTCGATTTAAATATACTTGAGTGCTTCTATCCATTATAGCTATTATCCTTATTAGTGCTCGAAGTGGCTGATATTGGCAGGTGTGGTCTTCTTAAAGTTGGCCCCTAAATCCCTTTGACATGACTCTAGTAATCTCTGATAGCTTCCTTCCTTCCTTATAGGACAAGATATTCCCGGCTTACCTTATACATTTCCTGGCCCAGACATGGAGTCAGTCATTTCTCTAGGGAATTCTGATTCATTTCACTAGGAAATGGTATTAGAAACCATACTCTGGGAGCTAGGTCAGAATTGTTAAAAATAAATACATAAAAACTTTATGGAAGAATGATGGCTACTTAAAAGTGAATTTCCCTATCCGCCAAAAAAAATCACGTAAATAAAGAGGAGATTAAAAAACAACCCTAGAGAAACTGGGAGGCAGAGATCACTAACAATTTCCGTTTACATATAAGTAGGAAAATAAACATCTGAGACCAGAAGGACCAACTCTAGGGTCCACACCAGAGCAAAGTCAGGTAGAGATCGTGTGAAAAGAGCGGAGGACCGCAGGAGTATAGCAGTGGTGGAATGCATATAAAATCCTCTCTAATAGAGTCCTGCCTGAGAGCGGAGATTCTGAGAACAGGTTGGAGAACTGGGAGATCAGAGCACTGGCTTGAAAGTCTTCAGGCTGTTTCAGGAGGGCACCATTCTGAAGAAGAAGTAGGTGTCTTGGAAGGGGGAGAAAAAAGCAAGCAAGCAATGGAAATTAAAGGTCTTACAGAAACAAAAGAGAACCACAAAATTGGAAAACACACTGATCCCCACCCCAAAAGTGTTCCTCCTGCGTAAAAATTGAATTTCACGAAAGCAACAGAACAGGATGCTTTTGAATTAAGAAACCTAGATAGACACTCAAATCATGCCCCTTATCTGCAGGCTTGTCCAGAAAAAAATATGACATTTCAAAATGAACACAAAATGTCAGGCAACATCCATACGAAGCTACTCAAAAATAAAAAAGAGAACAGAGGGGCTCCCAGTGGTATAGTGGTTAAGTTCACACACAGCAGGCCAGGGTTCGTAGGCTGGGATCGCAGGCACAGATCTACACACTTCTCATCAAGCCATGCTGTGGTGGCATCCTGCAGATAAAATGGAGAAAGACTGGCATAATTGTTAGCTCAGCACCAATCTTCCTCAAGCAAAAAGAGAAGATTGGCAACAGATGCTAGCTCAGGGCCAAGCCTCCTCACAAAAAAAAAAAAGAAAGATAAAAAAGGGAAGGGAAACATTTCAATATATTCTCCCTGCCAAGAACAAAAAACAAACAAAAAAAACCTATAAAGCAGAGAAAATGGTAACACAATACTTCAACCTGAAATAAGTATGTTAAAACAAGAATTTGCACATTGAACAAAAATTACCTTGAGCAATAAGTTCAAGATGACTCAGAATAGAAACAGAGAAAACACAGGAAGATATGAAATTAGAGTTGACCAAATTTAGAAAATGGAAGAAAAGACAAAATAATCTCAGAAATAAAGATTGAATTTCAAGGTGCTCAAGGGAAAATGGTTTTGAAGGCAAATATAATAAGGATCCTAAAGAAGAGGAATGAAAACTATAAAGAGAACAAAATGAAATAAAGAAAATGGTAAAAAGCATCAGAGAAAAAGTAATAAATTTGGACAATGGGCAAAGAAAGTCCAGCATCTTCTCAGAGCAAAAGAAAGACCCAAGTACTCAGACTGAAAGAATTCATAGAATGCTGACACGAAAATGAAAACAGGCTGATATCTGGTCACACTTCATGAATTTTCAGAACAAGAATAAAGATTCTGAAAAACTTCCAGAGAGAAATTCTCACTAAAAGGACAAGACTCAGACTGGCATAAGTCCTATCAGCTATACTGGATGATGGAAGAAAAGGGAGCAATGCCTTCAAGGTCCTAAAGCAAAAATAAATGATTTTTCAACCTAGAATTCTATAATCGATCACACATGAGAGTATAAAGACATTTTTACTCAGGCAAAGTATAACGGACACATGTTATGTTTTGTCTGCTCAGCATCTAGTCCACCACTCTTTGATTATGATAGCTTTTCACTTTCCTTATAGTCTGGTGGGACTGATAATCAAGATTCTCTACCTTTCTATAGCCAAGTGGCAAGCATGTGACCCAAATCAAGACAAACAGTCCTTTCCTGGACTGGAAATCATAGAGCATAATGACAAGAAGACTGAAGATTGTGGAGTCCATTCTTGAGGTAGGTTCCAAAGAAGATTGATGAGCACTTTTTCTATAACCCTCTCTGGAGCTGCCGCATCTTTATCTGTTCCAAGCCTGCTTCATCAGCCATCTCCTTGAGTCTGCGAGCACCTCCTTATCCTTCAAATAAATTCCTTTTTTGGATTCAGTTATGAGTCTATTTCTGCTGTAGTGTCTAACTGATAAAACTAGGCCTCAGAAATTTATATCCCGTGCATCATTCTTCGGAAGTCACTTGAGGATGCATTCAAGCAAAACCAAAGACGTGGGATCCGGATAGAACTGGAGTCAATCCAGGAGAACAGCCGAAGGTGAGTCCTGGGATGACAAGTGGGCAGCGAGCCTAAAGACTAAGCAGTCCAGATTGGAACAGGATGACAGAGGGCTCCTGCTGGAAAAAAAATAAGAAAGAAATCCCACGTAGTATAAAGTATGATTGAAAAGACAGAAAAACTTGAAGATATTAAAGTCACGTTATCCTCTTGTCAATAAGAAAAAAATGAAAAGGTATAAGAAACTCTAGGAAAAATAAAATGCTTTATAATAAGGTAATGTTCCAAATCATTATAAAAGATGGCACTTTTATGAAAGATGGCAAGTGTGCTTTACTTTTCTGTTTCATTTTTTAAATCAAAATTATATATGACATAGTTCAAAGAGCCAAACCGTTCTGCAAGCCTTGTTGCAAAAACAGCACTTCCTTGCATCCTCCATCCTGTTTTGCAGACATTTGGTTCTGTCCAAAATGTCCATAGAGACAGTTGGCCTATGTCTAAAGGTCCTTGATATTTGGTCTTGTCCAAAACATCCATGGAGACATTTAGTCCAAACCAAAAGGCCCTTGAAATTTGGTCCCATCAGAAATGTCCATGAGCATATTTGGTCCATGCCAAATGGTCCTTGATGTTTGGTCCTAACAAAAATGTTCATGCGTAGAAGAGGTCCTAGGGTTCAAATCGCCCATAATAGTTATTTATACTTTTGGCTTACAGGATTAATGCATAAAAAATACCATCATGTTTTATTGGTCCAATAATCATGGTGTGGCTTTATTGCCAGTAAGAACGCTTTTTGCCTTGATAGCCTAGCTATCAACAGCACATGGGGTTAGGCAGATGGGTGAGGGTTCAAATCCTGCAGAAGAGCAGGATTTATGTTAACTATGC